TTTTTGAGGGGGGGGGGAGGGGAGGAGGGGGCGTGGCGATTTTGTGGCGATGGATGAGAGAGGGTGAAGGAAGTGCTCGTCATCCATTCTGCTGTTATTGATAGCATTGTTATCATTATTTTTTTTGCTGTTTTTTTTTTTTATTATTGTTATTATTCACTCTCTTCTTAATGATGGGATTTACAGCATTTTTTACAATTAGTTTTGTTGTTGATGATGACATTGTTATTATTATCTTTTTGCTTTATTTTTTATTCATTTTGATGTTGATGATTTTTTATATTGTTATCGATAGAATTGTTATCATTATTTTTATTATTTTTCTATCAGTTCTGTTATCAATATTATCATAATTATATTATTTAAAAAATATTATTGCCATTATTGTTATCATTTTTTCTGTTATCATCATCATTATCATCATTATCCACCATCCACTTTCATAACACGTTTCCTAACATGGTTCCATATCCTTTTTTTCTTCTTTTCTTCTTTTTTTCTTTTTCTCTTTTTTTTTACTCAAAGGCTTTATAAAGTCCTATGGTTTTCTCGTCTTCGCGTTGGCTGAGAGGTGCCGCTGGGTGCCACTTGGTGCCACGCCAGACGCCCAGGCTCTCTCAGTGGATCCTCTGCTGTTCGGAGGAGGCGAAGGCAGATTTCTTATTCTTTTTTATTATCTTATTTGTGTGTTTTGAATGGAATTAAGATTAATTTTGTTTTGTTTCTTGTTTTTGTTGTTGTTGTTGTTTTTTTTGTAATGTAGAAAATCATCGTTTGGAAGTATATGAGTGAATGTGTTTATGCCTAGTGTGTGTTTTTTTTCTTCTTCTTTTTCTTTTTCAGTCTTTTTTATCGATGTTTTTTTTTTAGAATCGATAGATTAATAGATAGATGAATACCACGAGTGCGTCCATATCGGTTTTATGTGTGTGCGTGTGTATGTGTGTGTGTGTGTGTGCGTTCGTGCGTATATGTGTCCAGATTTTGCAGTGGTGACGTCACGGCCAATCCCCCCCCCCCCTCCAAGAGTATCCTGCGTCAATATATACTCCACGAGGATGCCAGCGTTCCCTCATACGCACCCCCCCCTCTTCCCCTCCCTCCCCCTCCATCCTCCTCCTTCTCCAACTCATCCGTACCCCTCCTTCTCCGTTTCCCTCTTCCCCTCCTATTCCTCATACGCCCCCCCCTCCCCCCCTCTTCCCTTATTCCCTTTCCTTCTCTTCCTTCCCCTCCTGCCCCTCTTTCGCACCCCTCCTTCCCCCATATACCCATCTCTCCTTCCTTCTCCCACCCCCTTTCGCTTCCTACGCAACCCTCCCCCCCTCTTCGCCTCATACGCACCCCACCGCCCCTCCCTCTCCCTCTCCCCCCTCTCCCCACACCCCACCCCTATCGCCTCATTCGTACCCCTCCGCCCCTACCCCTATTCCCCCCTAATACCCCCCCCCCTGTACCCCTTACGTGCTCTGTTGTTTTGATTTTTTTCTTGTTCTTATTTCTTTTTCTTTCTTTTCTCTTTTTTTTTTTTTACCCCTATCTGTTTTTGTTTTGTTTTATTCATAAATTTATTGTTCTTTTATTGTTGTTGGTAGTTTTTTCTTTTTCGAATTTCATCCCCTTTTTAGCTACATTTTTACTTTATTTTGTTGTTGGTGGTGGTGGTGTTTTCGTACCTCCATGTTATTGTTGTTGTTTATTTTTCTTCTATGTGAATTTTACGTTTTTCACAATAATAAGTTGTTATTGTTTGTCGTGGATGTTATTAATTACATTATTATTATTATTATTGTTGTTGTTGTTGCTGCTGCTTTTACTGTTATCATTATTACCATCATTGTCGTTGTTATTGTTGTTGTTGATATCGTTATTATTGCTATCATCACTATCACTATTGTAATTGCTATTATTATTGTTATTCTTATCATTATTGTTATTGTACTATTTTATCATTATCACATCAATGTATTATTATTATTATTATTATTATTATTATTATTATTATTATTATTATTATTTTATTATCATTATTATTATTATCATTAACATCAGCATCATCATTATTATTATCATTATCATTTCTGTTATTATAAATAATTTTCATCTGCGCTGTTATCATCACTATCATTATAATAGTGGTAAAATGACTGCTAACGGTCATGATAATAGTAGCTATAATGGTAATATTAACAGTAATAGTAAGATGATAATGAATATAATAACATTAGTAATAGTGATGATGATGATGATGATAATTATAATTATAATGATAATATAATGATGATGATAATGATGTGATAATGATAATAATAATAATGATAGTGATAATAATGATAATGATAATAATTATGATAACAAAAAGGACAATGATGATAATGATTATTATTATTATTATTATTAATATTATATTATATTATTATTATTATTTGTTATTATTATTATAACAATGATAATGTAATGATAAAGATTTCCCACAATGTCTTTCCTCCTTCACCGCCTTCTGCGTAAGACCAACCCTCTGACGCCCCCCTTCCCCGCAGGTCCTCAAGTCAACAACCACACGCTGCTGGAGTTTCACACAGAGCGACGAGGACGTGGGTTCCCTACGGGTGACGGAGGCCATGCTGTGGGTATACGTAAGGCGTCTCCCAGGGGCACGACACCACGACCCCTCGGAGTCCAAGACGACGCTGTGGGTGTTCCGCATCCCCCCGGAGGACACCAGAGAGGTACTGGGGTGCGGAGGAGGAGGAGAAGGGAGGGGAGGGAGGGGGAGGGTGGGAGGTACTGGAGTGTGGAGGAGGGGAGAGGGTGTGAGGAGGAGGGGTAGAGGGAGGAGGAGGAAGAGAAGGGAATAAGGAGAGGAGGGGGGAAAGGGGAAGGGGGAAGGAGGAAGAGGAGGACACCAGAGAGGTACTGGGTGTGGATGGAGAAGGAGGACTTAGGGGGAAAAGGGGAAGGGGAAGGAGGAGGAGGGGGAGGAGAAGTAGGAAGACACCAGGGAGGTACTGGATGAGGCGAAAGAGGAGGGGGAAGGGGGAGGAGGGAGGGGTTGGGAGGAGGAGAGAGAAGGGGAAGAAAAAAGAAAGCACCAGGAGGTACTGGGATGAGAAGGGAAGAGGGAGGAGTAAAGGGTGGGTAGGAGAGGAAGGGAGAGGGAGATGGAGGATGGGTAGAAGAATTAGAGAAAGGGGGGAGTGGGATAGTAGGTAGGTGTAAGAATGAATGGAAAAGAGAGAAGGAGGAGAGGGAAGGCGAGTGGGCTAGAGAGGGAGAGAGGAGTAAGTGTGTTTGAGGATAGTCACGAGATGGAGTGTAGGTGGGTGTGAGAATAGATGGGGAAGGGAGAGGAAGGCTAGGTGAGTGTGAAGCTGAGTGGGAAAGGTAGGGAGGTGAAGAAAGGGGAAAGTAGAAGGGGGTGGAGGAAGGAAGGGAAAGCGACCAGTTGTGTGTGCTTTGGAGAGAGAGAGAGAGAGAGAGAGAGAGAGAGAGAGAGAGAGAGAGAGAGAGAGAGAGAGAGAGAGAGAGAGAGAGAGAGAGAGAGAGAGAGAGAGCGCAATTAGTTTACATAAGTCTTTGCTAACATGATATACCAATAAAAGATGAATATCAAGAACCTCAGATACCTAAATCATAATGCTTCCGTAGTGTTTTCAAGCCTTTGTCACTGTTACAAAAGTCATCCATGCTATCATAACTGAGCCTAAACTAGCGAAATTCAGTAAAGTCAGCAGACTCTTTTCCATTTTTGCAAACTACTCTAGGTCGCATTGCATGAGCCGCTGCAGTTCGCGATGCAGTTCCCTCGCTCATTCCCCATTCGCCTCTCCCTCAGAATCCCCTCGCGGAGCTGGCGACGTCGCTGCGGGTGACGCCGACGCGGGACGGATGGCGGCGTCTGAACCTGACGTCGCTGGTGCAGCGGTGGTTCGCGCGCTCCGGCGAGAGGCTGCGGCTGCTGGTGGACTGCAGCAGCTGCGGCGGCGAGCTCGAGGCCCCGCTCTTCACCGCCCGCAAGCACAAGGGCGCACACAAGCCCGGGTCTCGACGGGCAGAAGCCTCGCACCGCCCCTTCCTGGTGGTGCACACGGCGCCCACGCCCTCGCGACGCCTCTCCCGCCGCGCCCTCCAGTGCGACAAGAACACGGAACTGTGCTGCAAGCAGGAACTCTTCATATCGTTCAACGAGCTGGGCTGGGACGACTGGATCATCGCGCCCCGGGGATACAAGGCCAACTACTGCAAGGGCTCCTGCGACAGCGTGTACCGCACCCCGGACTCCTTCACGAATTTCCACGCCCACGTCCTCGAGGAGCTGCAACGGAACCGCCCGGCTGGTACCCTCACGCAGTGCTGCGCGCCCACCAAGCTGTCGCCCATGTCGCTCATCTACCTGGACGAGTCCTCCAACATCATCAAGCGCGACGTGCCCCGCATGGTGGTGGAGGAGTGCGGCTGCGCGTAACCGGGAGCCCCCTCACCCCCAGGGAGCCCCCCGCCCCCCTTCACCCCCGGGGGGCGTGTGATGGTTGACTGTGATCGGCGCGCCCACGCTATGCCTTGCCCGGGCGCCAAAGTGTTCCTGTAACGGGACGAACTTCGGATATAGTCTGATCTGTGATCATAACTTTAAGCCAAGTTGTCGTTGTGTTGTTGTTATTGTTGTTCTTGTTGTACAGACTGTCGAGTGTGCGTCCCCCTCCCTACCCCTCCCCCTGTGCGTCCCCTGTGGTCGCTGTACCCCGTCTGCTCCGCCCCCTTCCCGCCTCCCCCTGTTCCCGAACATGCAACGGTCCTCATGGGGACACTGGAGGGTCATGACCCTTGACCCTGAGTTCATGCCCTGCGTTCCCATGCCCAGGACGAGCAGCATGTGCCCAGCAGATGCTCACTCGTCAGCATACCGCCCCATAACCTAGGGAACCCAGACATGCGACGACCGCCCCTTCACATTAACACTGCCCCTTTGACCCTAGGTCATTATACTCGCACCCCGCTTCGTGGTCGTGACCCCGCCCACCGCCCTCTCCTCTATGTAAGCTCACGCGCCCCGCCCGTACGGCCTGCGCCCGCCCACATGTTCTACTATCCGCCCGCCGCTCATGCATCCGCCCAATACATATGTGTCCGCCCACCAGCCTGTGTTCACACGTCCGCCCACCACCCTCTGTCCGCCCGTCACTTTCGCCTTGCGCAGTGTCTCCCGCCCTTATCACGCCCACCTACGACCTTCTGTTGTCACGACTGCGTGGCCTTTCCCCACCACGACCAAGCGTGAGCGTTGAGAGCACGGCCGCCAGAAGGGCACGAGGGATACGGGGTCGTCACGCTTCCAAGCTGAGACTCGCAGCTCCTCTCCACGCCACCTCCTCCCTCCCTCGGGCCCCACGCGCAGGCCCGCTCTGCCCTTCCCGGGCCCTCCCGCGGCCACGCCAGGGCTCCGGGCCTGCGCAGCGCCCCTTCGGCCCAGCTGCCAGTAGGACCATCTTGGAGCTCCCGCCCGTGAGCCTACGTTGCCTTACAGCCACCCAGAGAAGCTGTTCTGTTCATTGCAAGGCCTCCCGCTGCCGTTTAGTCTGCACGCCAAAAGTGCATCATTGTAGGCCTATTATTACCGAGACCTTCGGTAGCCGCTCTCTGCGGGACAAACATTCTGTAGGCCTTTCACCTGGCAGCTTTGTTCTTTAGGCCTTTGACTCCGCCCCAAATTCGCGACTTGCAGGTGAAAGCTCAGGTACAGGTGCAAGCGCCATGATGTCGGAACAGGCACAGAAGCAGATGGCCCGAGGAGCCGCCTGGGAACGCGAACCGGCCCAATCCTTGACCGACGGCGAGGTCCTCCGACGGCCGCAGCCAGGACATGTAGTGACCCTTCGCGCCGCATCCTGGGGGCTCAAGCAGACAGACATCCTTCAAGCAGGCGAACGCAAGCACACAACCCGGACAGCAAGCGAACTCGCTCAAGGCAAGCGCGGCGTTGGGAGAGGCTGGAGGTGTGGCCGGGGCTTCTGCCTCTGTGTGATAATAAGTGTAAAGATATTCAGAAATATTCATGACAGGTGTGACCCGAGGTGTGCTCATGTGGTGTACCGAAGCGCAATATGAAGTGTCAGCGGGTGCTATTTGTACCACAGGAGGCTGCTGGTGCTATCTACGTACCAAGTAAGGCCAGCTGGTGCTGTATATGTACCACATGAGGTCAGCTGGTATTTTATGTACCACTGTGAGGCCAGCTGGTGCTATGTGTACCGTGAGACAATGTGACATGCTACATTCCATTACCCTACATTGCATTTATTATGCGCATAGATTGATATGTTCATTATTTAAAACCTTTCAAAAAAAGACTAGAATGTCTTTCAGCAAGACAAAAACAGAAAAAATGAGCAGTTGTGAACGAATGACTGAAGCAAAAAACTGTGGAAAACGGTGTCAAAAGTGACCTCAAAGAGCAGTGGTTCTTCATAGCCTGCACACCTTCCGCGCTTCCTTGCCTTCATCTGTGTCAGACACGAGGATAGAAGCCAAGTGCAGGCTGCCCCTCCCCACTGTACCCCCTCCTCTCTCCCCCTTCCCCCAATTTGCACCACATCAAAGCTGACCCCCCCCCACCCCCCGCATTTCCCACCCCCCCACAGCCCCCCGAAGGCCTCTGGGGATCGGCAGGACCTCGAAGGACTGCCCGAGCCACCAGAGTGCCCCGAGCTCTGCACACAAGCTAGTGCCGGCACCACTGCGTTCTACACTCCACCAACCTATAGCATTATTCCCGTTATACAGTGGTGTGTGTGTGTGAGACTATGAAACAATATAGCTTTTGATGTGTGAATATTGACAAAAAAATGTGTTCTTTATGGTTAATTCATTTCGTGTATGGACGCCATACATCCATTCAATATAAGTGAGACGGACACTTTTTCATTGGGCTTTGTGTTCAGGAGACAAAGGAGATTCATTTCGTCAATGACAAAGATGAGATCATTATTTCATTTCTGAAAAAAAAGAAAACTGTGACTTGCCTTTTTGCTTTTTACCTTAACACCGTTTTATTTACATAAGAGAAATATTATATGGGTTGGTGGCTATCAGCAAGATAAATATATACACATATATACAGAGAAAAAAAATAATAAAAAAATAGGGTTTGGGCACCATTGTAAAACTGCAGAGGTTGAAGCGCTTTGAAGGATCGCTGCCTTGGTACTTATGTATATATAGGCAGAGATTTTAGAATTTAAAAAATAGGATGTTCCCATGCCGTATGGCCGCTGTTTAGAGGCTCCGATTTCCTTCTTTAGGTACTGCAGTTAAGACAGACCACCAGTTTTTATCAGTAAAATCAAGAATATATTTTATGCATTTTGTGTTTTTTATTCATGATCATCTCAATTATTAAATGTGATAAATATTTTTCCTATGTGTCATTACTATAATTATGTTACTCCATGTAGTTAAATAAATTTCATAATCTAGGTTAATTGTTTTCACATTTTCATAATCTTTCCTAACTGTGACGTCATGTATAACATGTCCTGAACATGTTTTACAAGAACTACAATGCCAGAATAAAAATAAAAGATAGTGTATGTGCGCATGTACACTCAGCAAAGAAAAACAAGATGCGTGTGTGTGTGTGTTATCAATAAAAATGACCAAAAAGTGTGTGTGTGTGTGTGTGTGTGTTTACACTATAGATAATGGAAAAAATGCTACTCCAATGGGGATTGATGACTTTCTGGCAGATCACTACGAGTTCGTGTCGAAAACATCGCAAAGTCCGAGAGAAGTTGTTGATAAGCTTCTCCAAAGTTTTGATAGCAGTTGTACAAAACTACCATTGAACTTCTACTCTTCTTGTCTTCGTGTGTGCGTGTGTGTGTGCGTGTGCGTGTGCGTGTGCTTGTGTGTGTGTGTTTTCTAAACTCCGGCAAAGAAAATATCTTATTCCGTTTTCTCATTTATCACGTATATGTATCCTTCCTTGGTCACTTCTTTTCCTTTTTCGAAACCCCTGAGCATTGTTTCACTCATCACTCTCTTGCTTCGTTCTTTAAGTCCTCTATAGGCCTATAATAATAACATAAACCATCTGGCACACTGAAGTGAACAAACTCAAAAGAGCAGGGATTTTATTGGTAATTAAAAGTACTCGACAGACTAAAACGACAAATTACACTTCTTACGTGATTTTGATCCCTTTTTTCTTCATTTCTTTCTGATTCGAAACCCCTGAACACTGTTTCATTCACAGTTCCTCTGCTTCATTTTCCTCGTCCTCTGTAAATCATCAGTGCAAACTATCTCATTCGAACACAGTGACGTGAATGGAGTTAGAAAGGAGTAGGGGTCCAGTTTCTAAGTAAGAAATATTCTCTAGAACACATTTCTTTCCCGGGTTTTTACTAAAGGAGCCTTTTCTGTCCGATTTTGTCTGAATCTGACTATTTTTTTTTTAAGTGAGTTTTACTCTATCGAAAAAAAACCTTTTTCGAAAAAACAACTAAATTCATGTCAGACTAGGCACAGCTAACATTTCTATTCAATGAAAGCGAATTGTCAGGATAATAAGGTAATAATAATCTCTTTCTGTGGTTTTATCTATGAAAAGACCCTTTTAATATGGAATGAAATAGTCAGGGACACAAGCTCCCAAAACTCCCACTCCCTGTGCTCCGGTACCCCCCGAACTCCCACTTCCTGTGCTCTAGTGCCTCAAAGAATTAATTTCTTCCACTTCAGGCTTTACTAAGATATTCTTTTATCATTCTTTCCCTTCTCTTTCCTCTTATTCCACCTTTTGTGTCGTATCTTCCCTCTACCATTCTGTTAGAATGTCTTGTGTTCCTCTGTTTCTCATTTATTCATTTACTCTGGTTCCCTCCCTGCCTGCGGGTGAATGTCGCTTCTCCGTTGTATGCATCATAGTTATTGTATTTGCTATAGTTGTCATTGTTGTTCATTATTGTTGTTAATGCTACAGTCATCATCATTACTATCTGTTGTTATTATTGGCATCATCATTAGTTATTATTATTATTATTATCACTGTCATTATCATCATTTTTGTTATTATTATCATTACTATTATTATTATTATTGTTATCATTATTATTATTATCATTATCATTATCATTATCATTATCATCATCATCATCATTATTATTATTACTATTAGTATTATAATTGTTATTATTATTATTATTATTATCATTGGTATCATTATTATTTAAAAAATATTATTATTGTTATTATTATTATTATTATTATTATTATTATTATTATTATTATTATTATTATTATAATGTTTACTGTTATTATTATGATTATAATAATCATTATTTTTACTATTATTACTATTATCATTGTTTTATTATCATTACTGTTATTATTATCATTATCACTCTCATTATTAGTGATATTATTATTACTGGTATTGCGATGATCATTATTACCTTTATTATTATTATTGTTATTATAATTATCCTTATTTATTAATATCATCATTGTTATTATTATCATTGATATCATTATAATTACCCTCATCATTGCTATCATTATCATTATCATCTTAATTATCATAATTATCAACCTTATCACTAACATTATCACCCATCATCATTATTCTTGCTGTTGATATTACCACCACTGTTACTTTATTTTTACCATCATTGTTATTATCATTATCATTATTATTATTGATTTTATATCATTATTATTATTATTATTATTATTATTATTATCATCATCATCATGATTATTAGCATCATTATGATAAGTAGTAGCAGTAGTTGTTGTTATCATTGTCATTATCGCTATTGCCATCCTCATCATTATTACCATTAGCGTTAGTTTCTTTATTGCCATCGTCAAAATTAATATTATGGTCTTCCTTATTATAACTGCTATCATTAGCATAATCAAAATGATTATCATCATCATTATGATGATAATAATATTTCGCATTATTATCATTATTTTCCATATTATAATCATTTTCATTATTATTGTTATTATCATTATTATTATTACTATTATTATTATTGTTATTATCATTATCTTTTTATTGTCATCATCATCATCATTATTATTATCATCATTATTACTATTATTACTTTATTAGTATTATTACCATCATTATTACTATTACTTATAATCATTATCATCATCATTAATAATATACTTATTCCCATCATTATTATTATCCTTATCATTATTATCGCCATCATTATCGCTATTATAATGGTAATAATGTTATTGCCATTATAATTACCACCACTGCTACTATTATTAACTTCATAGTATTCATTGTTATTGCTTTATTTATTGCTGAAACTATCATTGTTGTCACTGATATTATCATTACCAGTAATATTATTATTATCACATCATTATCATCGATATAATTATTATTAATTATTCGTATTGTTGGTGTTATTAATGATATTCCTGATAATAATAATAATTATCATTATCATCATCATCATCATCATTCCTCTCATCATCATCATTATTGTCATTATGAAAATAATTATCGTATTTATCATATTTTCATTACTATTATATTTTTATCATAATGATTATAATAATTTCAAAATCAATATTCTATTCATTATAAATCACTATTATCATCAACATCATTACTCGTATTATCATAATTACCATCGTGACCATTACCATCATCACTGTACCGAGCATTGTTATCTTCAGAATCAAATTACTGCCAGAAATGATTATTCTCTAACTTTTTGATACCCATCCAAGGGGTTATATTGATTTTGTTTACTCAGTCGGTTATATGTGCTATGATAATATATATATATATATATATTATATATATAATATATATATGTGTGTGTGTGTGTGTGTGTGTGTGTGTGTGTGTGTGTGTGTGTGTGTGTGTGTGTGTGTGTGTGTGTGTATTAATATCTAAATTTAAAATATTTCCAACCAGTTCCCTTACGAACAACAATTGAGAAAGAGGTTAAAAAATCGGTCAAAAGTGATATTCTCGTTTTCACATAACACACTTCCCTCCGAATACTTTCTTCTGCTATACATACTACAGAATGGAAACAAAAAAATAAAGATGTTAACAGTAACAAAGGCAAAGAGAAGAAAAAAATAAACACACAAAAACACATTGGCAAAAAACCACTGAGGGTCACAATGTTCGTCGCAGTTATTCATAGATTTGGTATTACAACGGTAATCTCATCCTACTGATATATTTGGAAGCGGCTTTCACTGAGGCTCAAGCTGAATCCCAGAAGTAAGTGGCATTATCAGGCGCAAATAAATGGACAGGAAGGTATAATGTAAAAGCATGAGTTGGTTCTAGGAGAAGACAACGAAATTCTGAGAGCCAAAATAAGATGAAAGAAAATGGGTCGCAGGGGGGTGACTGATATAAAATTCTTATAAAGAACATCGCTCTGAACAGACAAGAAAAAAAACATTGAAACAAAGTCGCACTCTACTCTTTCCTATTCCTCAATCTAAGGAACCTCGAACATGAAGCTGCAGCAGAAGGTAAATAAGAAAAAATCTTAAGAACTGACGGCACTTAATATCATGGCGGGGTAGCCTCCCTCTAAAACCCATAGAAAAGGGAACCGTTTACCTCAATTTTGCTTTTCTTTGCTGACATCCTCCTGTTACACAATAATAAAATCCTACCAACTTTTTTATTATTCCCGGGAAAATTGCGATAGATCTGCCTACATGAGTCTGTGTTGAGTAAAATTATAGTTTAAAAAATTAAAAATGACAATATAGAATACAGCAAATTAACGAACTAAGGGGGGACCATACAATACACAGAGCAAATTGAGGCTGTGGAACATATAATAAGAACACAAACGATCAAAACAAAGAAAGTAAACGGAGATAGATCAAGCAAAGAGAATCAGTCCTTCTCTACAGAATGTCATGCTAGTTCTTTTCTTTTCCTGTTCTTTAAGGTGCCTCTGATTGCATAAATACAATGCACAGAAATATGAATATATATATGGAGAATGATAAAGATTGCTATGATGATAATGATGTTTACATAAATAAAATGAATTGAAATATGAATATAAATATGTGTATATATATACGTGTGTGTGTTGTGTGTGTGCGTGTGCGTGTGTGTGTGTGTGTGTGTGTGTGTGTGTGTGTGCGTGTGTGTGTGTGTGTGTGTGTGTGTGTGTGTGTGTGTGTGTGTGTGTGTGTGTGTGTGTGTAAAGAATAATAAGGATTGCTATAGTAGTAATGGTATTTACATATATGAAGTGCATAGAAAAAAATATATATGATGTTTGAAATTTGATGAAGAAGAATTAATCCTTATTACATAGGGTGCGATATGAAAATTCTAAAGATAACAATATAATGATATCAAAGTAATATGCTTCAGTTCAGTTACTATACATTTCTTTTTCTCACTCTCTCTACCCGTCCTCTCTCTCTCTCTCTCTCTCTCTCTCTCTCTC